CAGTGGCTCCTGGAGAGTATATTCTCATGAAGGAAACCACATCTAGGCAGAGTACATTTGACCTTACAGCTGCCCTATCAGAAGTCTGAGGGAATGTCCATCATGGGGCTCACTTTTTGAGTATCTGTGAACCTCAAGTGGGCATCAGGTTCCCTCTGTACCTGAGTGTCTGCAGAGGAGCTTGGACTGGGAATAGTCAGAGGTTTGATTCAGAAGCAGTCATATTCTGTAACCAAGACCTTCCCAGGTAGGTAAGGCTGAAGTCAAAGGGAAGATCTGAAATTTGACCTGTCTCAGAAACCCAATGGAGAACTCCAAGAGTCCAGACTCTAATGGTAACCTTTTGGGGAAATTTTGTTTTTCTTATTAATTCCTGTGCATTGGGTACTGACAGGAGGGGCATGTTGGGAGCTGCCTGAGGACAGGAGCCTGATTAAGGTAGGTACTCAGTTCTGCTCATGAAATTAATTGGATGGATTTGGAAACCAGAGGACTTTGAGCATAGACTCTGAATAAAAACTGCAGGGTCTAGAGCCCCCTCTCACAGGGGGCCAGAAACTGCTTGTGCTCACTGGAAACTGCTCTCTGAGAGGTCTCCTGTGTCCCCATTTTCAGAAGGTATGCTTCTCCATTCTCTTTACTATCCCAGAAGCTTTCACATAGACTAGAATCCAGTAGCTTCTGCTGGTACTAGGTCCCCATTTCCTGTTCCTCCTTTAGAGTTAACCTCCAAGACTGGGGAGCTGGGGAAGGTCCTGCTTTGAAAGGGAAAGGGCCAAAGATTTCCAACACCCAAATGATGAGGTCATCGTGTATCTTTCACAGCAGTGTCTCTATCAAAACTTCCTTCTGGAGTAAAAAAGAAATATTTCAATTTGTATGTCTGTGTTTGTAGCTGGTCTTTCTTCTGTTCCCCCTCTATACATTAAAAAGAAAAACTATAATTTCTATGTCTGTGTTTTTCATTGGACTTTCTAATACTTTGTTCTGCAGTTTAAAAAATGCCTCAGTTTTTAAGCTATTTCTTCCTGAAATTTCATCTGTACCTAAAAGAATACTGCAATTTCTATGGCTACATTTCTTTCTCGATTTCCTTCTGTAGCTTTAAAAAAGAAAGACTCACTTTCTCTGGCCCTGTTTCTGCTTAAATTCCTTCAGTTCCCTCCTATACTAAAAGAATCCTTTAATTTCTCAAGTAGTGTTTCAATCTGAACTTTTTTCTGTTCCCTTCCCTATTTAAAAAGAATGTTTTAATTTCTCTGGCTGTGTTTTTGTCTGGATATCCTTCTGTTCCTATCTCTACCTAAAATAATGCTTCAATTTCTCTGTCTGTGTTTCTATCTTGACATCTTTCAATTCCTTCCTGTACCTAAAAAAGTGTCTCTATTTTGATGGCTGTTTTTCTCCCTGGACTGTTCCCTTCTCTACTAAAAGAATGTTACAATTTTTATGGCAGTGTTTCTTTCTGGATATTCTTCTGTTTTGTTTTGTGCCTTCAAAAAATGCTTCACTGACCCACTCTTCTTTTCTTTTATTGTCTTGTATGATTTTGTTTTTCTCTCCAATTTGGAAAAAGGCAATCACGGTATGCTCAATGAGCTTGCACATGACACAGTGCTGGGAGTATAGCTAATATACCAGATGACAGGCTCAGGATCCAAAAGGATCAGCATGTGCTGGAGAATTGAATAAAATTCAACAGAGGGTCAAAGACAGCAAGTGTTCCTCAAACTCTCTGGGGCTGCAAGCTCGATGGAAGTCATCAGTCATCAGTGAAAGGGAGCCAAAAAAAGCTCCTGCTGCCTGGGCATGCATGGCAAGGGGCACACCTTCCTTCCAGGCAGATGGCAGCAATAGAGCCCATGTCGTCTGCCCTCCTCAGAGCCCGTCTGGATATTGTGCTCAGTTCTGGGTCTGTGCATAAAAAAGACAACCATTGGCTGGAGTGTCCAGAAGGGGGCAGCCAGGATGCCGAAGGGCTTTGATTCCTTGTCTTGTGAGGAGTGTTTGAAGAAGCAGGGATTTAGAGTCTTGAGAAAAGATTTATAAGGAAATAAGTTTCCTCAAATGGGAAAAAGGATCATTAAAGCACCTACCAGGTTGAGATAATGTCTGAAAACGACTTCTTAGCACAGTCCCTGGCACACAATTGGTGCTTAATAAATGCTCCTTCCATCCCTTCCTTCCATTCAGTGTATTTTACTGAATCTTCATTCATGTAATGACAACTTAACGTGGCTGTCTGGGGGTTCTTTCTTGTGTCCTCCTCTCTTTTCCCGCTGTATTCCCTCCCTTAGGTGATCTAGCGTATAGCCTGCCAACTACAGAAATCTGTTGGTTACTTTGCTGATGTAGTAAGTAGCCTGCTCTGTCACTGAACACACAAATCACCAGCTTATTCATTCAGCAAGAGTAAATGCCAAGATAGTCTTCCTGGGACAGAATGGTTGTAATGAATATTCCATACTCTGTTTCCCCCTTCGGCCTTCCCTCCACACGTATGTCTCTTTGGTGTCCTAAGTTCCAGAAGCTGATAGGAGGAAGAGCTGTAAGCTGGAGAAGAACTCAGATTCAGATGGGTGTCCCATGGAAAAACAATCATCCTTCCCCAGAACACTGGGCAGAAAACACTTTTGTACATGGAAAACACCAAGTGAACAGTATTTATTGTTAATGTAGCCTGTGACCCTCGAGAAGACCCTGAAACTGACATTTATTCCTCTTCTGTAAAATAGGGATACCTTTTCTAATGGTTCTGTTGTTCACAAGAACACATCCTCAAATCTAAAAGAGTTTTAGAAAGAAACTTACTAGGTCATTTGATAAAGGAGAGGGAGCTAGAAAGGGTATGGCTCCCTCTCATCTAGGCTCTGAAAAGTTTACATGTGTAGGATTTCGATGAGGGTACTGGCTTGAACGTGCAAAGAGGTCAGCTTGAAAGCAAGGTAGATTGAGATGGATATCAGTGAGAGAAATGATTATTAATAACCAATGATATGGGGAGGTTCAGATTTCCCCCCTTTTTCTGTTATTCTCATTTCAAGATCTCAGTCTTTGAAGGTTGAGCTAACTTTCTCCTCTGCTTGCCACTCTCAGGAATACTTCTCTTCCAAAAGAGCAGATAAACCATGGGCCGCCACCCTGATTGTCTTTGGTCTAAGAGAGAGATGGCCAAATGACCATCCTTTTGTTAAAATTCTGGCATTATTAATAAGATGATTAAATCACCCAGAAATAATTTCTTTCAAAGCTTTGAAAATATCACATCAGGAAGTAGAAACATCAATAAAATTTTGGCAAAACCAAAACATAAGCTTAGATGTACCCAAAAGAAGACCTGGTTGAGTGGGGTGGAGCCAAGATGTGAGGGAACCTAAAATTGGTTGTCACCATCTCCTGCATTTCCAGGAGTTACTGAGGTCAGGGAGATATTCTGGGTTCAAACAATTTCTAGTCACATAAAGTGAGATTTAAACAGTATAATAATTAATACATTTTCCAAATGATATGATAAAGCATTTTTCCATAGTACCTTTATCATGGGGTTGTTAACATCATAATATGAAGGAATATATTTGGCAAAACTTAAAAGCCCCATAAATGTATCAGATATTATTTCCTTTCTTGTGATTAATTAATACCAATGGGTTCAAACTGCCAAGAAGCAGACTAAGAGTTCATCTCTTGGAATATACTCAAACACACATAGATGCATATATACACATATTAATTTGTGTGTATTACATATGTATATACACATAGGTATATATATATATATATATATATATATATATCTACATATAGGTAGCTATACAGAGAGATGTACAGACATATATGGACATCTATATCCTTATGTATATAGAGAGTAATATATCTGTATCTACATATCACTCTATATTTCATGCACAAGTCTACCATGCCAGGAAAAATATTTTTCAATCTAATGTCATTCTACATGAAAGCAATTTTAGCTAGCTGAAAACCATTCAAGCTGGCATGGCTTATCCAAACCATGCCTCATGCCCTCAGACACATCCATCTACTCAAGAATATTTGTGGTAATATTTATAGTAATCTTGAACAAAATGAAATATGTTAAAATTCGTTTTGGGGTTAAAATTCCCAAATAATAGTCGTTACTCTGTTCTGCCCATGACAGACAAATAGATTCTTAAAGTGTTTACTAAGTGCCAGGAATTGGGACTAAAAATACTTTAACTAGAGAATAAATATATAAGCACAAAGAGCATTCCTAGCACTTAAGGAGCTTACATTCTGAAAAAAGGAGTCCACATAGAAAAAGGTTGTTGAAATATTGGTGTGGGGGGGAGTCTCCATATCAGAGTGAGGAGGAGAAGTACACAGGGGTGTCCAGGTCTGAAGTAATCATTGCTGGTGTGGATGCTTTCTTAAATAGAAGTCCTGGGGAAGAACTCACCAGGTAGAAGAGATGGGGGTCGTAAGGGTAGGGGCATATTATTACTGTGAGAAAGCCACTGGGGCAGAGGTTGAGAAGAAGTTCTGGGACTCTTGTTCTGAGCTTATTTTGAAGTGTCCAATGCCTTCAAGTGTTCTGGACCTCCTGTCTCTGACAAATAAATATGGCCTTCTGAATGGAAAGAAGGAGACTGATTCTGGGTAGTCCATTGAGGAAATGGCCAATGCAATGATTTTTTTTTTAACAGAGAGGATAACCTTGTTCAAAGATTGGATTCTACTTTTATTCCATTTCCCTTAAAAAAAAGACATAAGTTCTTGGCCTTCTAGATACTTTCAAACAGAGAAAAGTCTGTTAGACTGGGAAAGATATTATTTCTCCATATTTCTAGAGATTCTGAAAAGAAGCTTTCAGAAAATGGTTCTGCCAGGTGCTCCTTTCCTCTGAGTACCATTCGCAGTCACATCACTTTGTCCCTAGTTTCCACTCTCAAAGCTCAGAACATTTGTACTTTATATTAGATATATATCAGACATTTGTACTTTATATTACTGTTTTTCAGATTTGGAGTCCAAGATCATGACCAAGAATGAGCCAGAGGAGGACTCTCCCCATAGAGTGAAGATTGAAAGACTCAACATTGTTGATGATTACTCCTCTATTTGTGGGGAATGGGGTGAAAGTGAGAGCCAGGTAAAAAGTGAGGAAGTAAAACAGGAGAGTGATGTAAGAAAAATCACCAAAGGCCAGAAGATTCAAACTAGAGACAAATGTTATAACTATAAGGAATGTGGGAAAGTCTTCCCTCCATATGCAAACTTTTCTGAACATCAGAAAGTCCATGCTCTTGAGAAGGCTTATAAGTGTAATCAATGTGGGCAAACATTTACTCACAAGTCAAGACTTATTCGACACCAGAGAATTCATTCTAGAAAGAAGTGCTATAAAGGTAATGACTGTGGGAAAGCCTTTAGTCAGACCTTAACCCATGCTTCACATCAGATGATTCATACTGAAGAGAAACCATATAAATGTAGTGAATGTGGGAGATCCTGTCCCAAAAACTCAATTCTTATTAGGCACCAGAGAATTCATACTGGAGAGAAGCCTTATAAATGTCAGGAGTGTGGGAAAGCCTTTACTGAGGTGTCAAAACTTAATATACATCAGAGGATTCATACTGGAGAGAAGCCTTATGAGTGTAATGATTGTGGGAAAGCCTTCAATAGAAGTTCATCCCTTGTTAGGCATCAGAAAATTCATACTGGAGAGAAGCCCTATAAATGTGACAAGTGTGAAAAAGCCTTTACTGAGAGCTCAAACCTTATTTTACATCAGATGGTTCATACTGGAGAGAAGCCTTATACATGTAATCAATGTGGGGAAGCCTACACTAAAAACTCAAACCTTGTTAGGCACAAGAGAATTCATACTGGAGAGAAGCCTTATAAATGTGAGGAGTGTGGGAAAGCTTTCACTGAGATGTCAAAACTTACAACACATCAGAAGATTCATAGTGGAGAGAAACCTTATATATGTAATAAATGTGGGAAAGCCTTTACTGGAAATTCAAACCTTTCAAAACACCAGAAAATTCATTCTGGAGAGAAGCCTTATAAATGTGCTGAATGTGGGAAAGCCTTCAGTCAGAGCTCAGTGCTTTATAGGCATATGTTGATTCATACCGGAGAAAAGCCTTATAAATGTAATGAATGTGGGAAAGCATTCACTCAGTACTCAACCCTTTTCAAACATGAGAGAATTCATACTGGAGAGAAGCCTTATAAGTGTAATGAATGTGGGAAAGCTTATACTCGAAACTCAACCCTTTTCACTCACCAGAGGATTCATACTGGAGAGAAGCCTTATAAATGTGAAGAATGTGGGAAATCCTTCAATGAAAGCTCTACTCTTACTGTACATCAGATGATTCATACTGGGGAGAAGCCTTATACATGTAACGAATGTGGGCTATCCTTCACTAAAAACTCATTCCTTGTCAGGCACAAGAGAATTCATACTGGAGAGAAGCCTTATACTTGTGAGGAGTGTGGGAAAGCCTTCACTGAGATGTCAAAACTTAAAATGCACCAGAAGATTCATAGTGGAGAGAAACCTTATAAGTGTAATAAATGTGGAAAAGCCTTCACTGAGAACTCACGCCTTTTGAAACACCAGAGGATTCATACTGGAGAGAAGCCTTATAAATGTAATGAGTGTGGGAAAGCCTTCAGTCAGAGCTCAATGCTTATTAGGCATATGATGACTCATACTGGAGAGAAGCCTTACAAATGTAGTGAATGTGGGAAATCCTTCACTCAAAAGTCAAGCCTTTTCATCCACCAGAGAATCCATACTGGAGAGAATCCTTATAAGTGTAAGGAATGTGGGAAAGCCTTCCGTAGAACCTCAGCACTTAATAAACACCAGAGAGTTCATACTGAAGACAAGCTTTATAAATGTAACGAGGAAACCAATATGGCAGAAGAGAGGCAGCCACCCAAATGGAACTCTCCCAACATTCCCCTCAAAAAACCTTTAAAATAACAATTCAAATCAAATTTTGAAGCAGCAGAGCCACAAAAGGTCTGAGTGAGATATTTTTTCCAGCCTGAGACATTTTAGGAGGTCAGCTCTTCTTTCCGAGGTGGTATGATAAGGGAGAGGTGTGGTCACTGCCCTCTTGGTCTGTGCTCTGTGCTTTACCCAGGAAGGGCCCTAATCCCCTGCAGTTGCAATTACTAGTGCTCCTCTTGGCCCTGGAACTATGACCCCATTCCCTGCTCTCCTGCAGCCACAAGGACTAGTGCTCCTTGTAGATCCTTATTACTGCCCTCCTCCAACTTGCTCTGAAAATAGCAGCATGAAGAAGGCTGAAGCTGGGGACTGTGCCTCCCTACCTCTGAGTGAGCAGAGTCCAAGTTCATAGTCAAGATATAGACTGGAAAAGTGAGGAAACAACAGAAAAAAATCTTGACCATAAGAAGCTACTATAGCGGCAAGGAAGACCAAGACACAAACTCAGAAGAAGACAACAATTTGAAAATAGCTACAACGAAAGCCTCAAAGAGAAATACTAAAATGACCGAAACCCAACAGCAATTCATAGAAGAGATAAAAAGAGAAGAGCGGTAGAAGAAAGAATGGAAAAAGAAATGAAAGCAATGAAAAAAAAATTATGGAAAGAGAAATAACAGCTTGGTAAAAGAGGCACAAAAATACTGAAGAAAATAACACCTTAAGAAACAGAATTGGCCTAATGGTAGAAGGGTACAAAAATTCACTGAAGAAAATAACTTCTTTAAAAAAATTGGCCAAATGGAAAAAATGGTACAAAAGTTCACTGAAGAAATAATTCCTGAAAAATTAGAATTGGGCAAATGTAAGCTAATGACACCACAAGACATCAAAAAACATTAAAGTCAAAAGAATGAAAAAAGTGAATATAATGTGAAATATCTCATCAGAAAAACTACTGACCTACTAAATAGATTGATGAGAGATAATTTAAAAATTATTGGACTACCTGAAAGCCCTGATAAAAAAAAAAAGAACCTAGGGGCAGCTAGGTGACACAGTGGATAGAGCACCGGCCCTGGATTCAAGAGGACCTGAGTTCAAATCTGGCCTCAGACACATAACACTTACTAGCTGTGTGACAATGGGCAAGTCATTTTAACCCCATTGCCTAGGCAAAAAAAAAAAAGAAGCTAGACATTATATTTCAAGAAGTTATGAATAGAAATTGAAAGAATCCTCTGATCACCTCCTGAAAGAGGTCCCAAAATGAAAACTCTTAGGGTATCATAGTGAAATTGCAGAGCCCCCAGGTCAAAGAGAAAAATATCGTAGCCATCAAGAAAGAAATGATTCAAGTATGATTCAGTCATAGTCAGGATTGCAGAAGATTTAGCAGCTTCCACATTAAAGGAACAGAGGACTTGGAATATGATATTCCAGAAGGCAAAGAAGCTAGGATTATAACCAGGAATCACCTATCTAGCAAAAATGAGTATAATCCTTTTGAGGGGAAATGGATATGTAATGAAATAGAGGACTTTCAAGCATTCCTAATGAAAGGTCCAGAGCTGAATAGAAAATTTGAGAGTCAAACGCAAGACTCGAGGAAAACACAAAAAGGTAAACATGAAAGAGAAATCATAAGAGACTCAGTAGTTCAACTGTTTACATTCCTATAAGAGAAAAAGATATAGGTAATTCCTGAGAACTTTATTAGTATTATGGCAGTTAGAAATAGTCTACCTAGACAGACGGCATGAATGTGAGGCAATTATGTTGGGAAGATCTAAAAATATTGACGAGGTGAGAAAGAGGAATGCACTGGGAGAAACGGAAGGGAGAAATACAATGGGGAAAATTATTTCACATAATAGAGGCATGCAAGGAGGAGCTTTTACAGTGGAGGGGGAAATGGCTAGCATAGGCAATGCTTGAACATCACTCTCATCAGAATCAGTTCAAAGAGGGAAAAATACACACACACACGCACGCCCTCACACACACACGCTCACACACATACACACACACAATCAATTGGATATTTAAACCTATCTTACCCAATAGAGAAATAGGAAGGAAAGAGAGTAAAAGGGGACGGGGTGTAATAAAAAGGAGGGCAGATTAAGGGAGGCAGCAGTCAGACCAAAAAAGGCTTTTGAGGAGTAACAGGATAAAAAGAGAGAGAAAAATAAATAGAAGGAAATAGGATGGAGGGAAATACATAGTAATCCTAAATGTAAATGTGAATGGGATGAGCTCACCTATAAATCAGAAGCAAATAGCAAAATGGATTAGAAACCAGAATCCAACAATATGTTGTTTATGAAAGATACACTTGAAACATAAAGACACACTCAGAGTTAAAATTAGGAGATGGAGCAGAATCCATTATTCTTACAGTCAAAGTGAAAAAAGGCAGGGGTAGTAATCATGATCTCACACCAAGCAAAAGCAAAAATAGATCCAATTAAAAGAGATAATCAGGGAAACTACATTTTGCCAAAAGGTACCATAGACAATGAAATAATTCATTTTTTTCCAGCAAGTTTCTCTGATATAGGCCTTTCCCCTCAAATATATAGGGAACTGAGTCTAATTTATAAAAAAAAAAAAAGAGCCATTCCCCAATTGATAAATGGTCAAAGGATATGAAGAGGCAGTTTTCAGAAGAAATTAAAGCTATTTATAGTCATGTGAAAAAAAATGCTCTAAATCACTACTGAGTAGAGAAATGCAAATTAAAATAACTCTGAGGTACCACTTCACATCTATTAGAAATGACAAATGCTGGAAGGGATGAGAGAAAATAGTTACACTAATGATTTGTTGGTGGAATTGTGAACTGGTCCAACCATTTTAGAAAATGATTTGGAAGTATGCCCAAAGGGCTAATAAAACTGTGTTTACCCTTTGACCCAATAATACCACTACTAGGTTTGTAATCCAAAGAGATAAAAGGAAAAGGACCTGTGTGTACAAAAAAAATTTATGCTAGTTCTTTTTGTGGTGGCAAAGAACTGGAAATTGAGGAGATGCCCATTCACTGGGTAATGGCTGAACAAGTTGTGATATATGATTGTGATGGAGTACTATTGTGCTATAAGAAAGACTTACATGAACTCATACAAAGTGAAGTGAGCAGAACCAGGAGAACATTTTACACAGTAAGAGCACTATTGTAATGATGATCAACTGTGAAAGACTTAGCTACTATGATCCAAGAAAATTCTAAAGAACTCATGATGAAAAATGCTATCTGCCTCCAGAGAAAGAACTGATGATTTCTGAGTGCAAATTGTAGTTTTCTCACTTTATTTTTCTTGCCTTTTTTTCTTCAATATGACTAATTTGGAAATATGTTTTGCATGATTTCACATGTGTAATTGGTACCATATCACTTGCCTACTCAATGGGGAGGGGGAACAGTAGGGAGGAAGAGAATATGGAACTTAAAATTAAAAGATAAAGACAAAAAATAATAAATTTAAAAATAAACACAAAATAAATGTAATGAATGTGGAATAATCTTTAGTCTCAAAGTTAACATGATCTGACATCAGAAGACACATAGTAGAATGATGTTTATAAAAATCACGAATAAGGAATAGCTTTTATAAGAAAGTTACTACTGATTTTACACAAGGAGAAACATGGTGGAGAGAATGTAGGAATGTATAAGATGTGGGCAGTAATCTACTCAACATCTATGCCTTATTTTACGCCAGAAGATTCACACTGGGTATATAGGGCTGTCCTCAGTATACAAGTTATAAGAGAAGATAGCCCCATTAGAAGTGTCCCAACATTTTATTTGGGAGATGCTTTGACCCTTTGGTGGTCTAATGACAAACATTTGGTAATTGCTTGCTGAGAACACTGTACGAGGCATTCTTTGTCAAGGATGCTTTCAATAGACTATTAGTGTTGTTGTATGGTTGTGAAATTTAGAACACTAAATTTTCCAAAAATTAAAATTACAAAAATATTTGTCATAGCTCTTTTTGTGGTGGCAAAGAAGTAGAAATTGAGGGGATGTCCATCAATCAGGAAATGGTTGAACAGGTTGTGATATATAATTATTATGGAATATTATTGTGCTATAAGATATGATAAAGTGGTTTGTTTCAGAAAAAATCTGGGAAGACTTACATGAACTTATGTAAAGTGAAGTAAGCATAACCAGAATAGTGTATACAATAATAACAGTATTGTAACAATAATCAACTCTGAAAGACTTTACTACTCTAGTCAATACAGTGATTCACATCAATTTCAAAAGATTCATTATGAAAAAGCTAACCACTTCCAGAGAGAAAGAACTGATGAACTCTGAGTACAGATTGAAGCATATTTTTCCACTTTATTTTTCTTGCTTTTTATATTTGGCAATGCTGCTAATATAAGTATGTGTTTTGCATGATTACACATATATAATGGATATCATATTACCTTCTCAATGAATGAGGGAACATTTTGAATAAAACAGAATTTGGAACTGAAAATATAAAATTTAAAAAAAATTAATATTCAGGGGCAGCTAGGTGGCTCAGTGGATAGAGCACTGGCCCTGAAGTCAGGAGGACCTGAGTTCAAATCCGGCCTTAGACCAAACACTTGGCACTTACTAGCTGTGTGACCTTGGGCAAGTCACTTAACCCCAATTGCCCCCCAAAAAAACCTCCCTAAAAATTAATATTCAGAAGACCAAGGAGAGGCATGTTATACAAGAGCAAGTAAATATGAAATCATGAAAAATGAATGAACTTTTTGCATTCTTTTATGGAGAGATGATTACATGAATCCTTTCAGAAATCTGTCATCATCACACATCCTAGAGGGAATTTAATTACACAGAGGGTCTGAGAGAAATGCTATTTTATGTTTTCCTGAAATATTTCCTTAAATGAAGAATGGAAAGGGAGCATAAGAGGAGTACCCTGGTTGGGGGAGGGTGGTGAAGGGAAAGGAAGAATGGTGAAAATTAATCACAGACTTCTGTTGTCCAAATAGATTCCTCAAAAATATATATAAAGAGGTGCATAGGGAGTGGTATAGCAGGTGATATTTTAAACTCTCTGTGTTCTGAACTGGGCAAAGTAGAAAATGACACACACCCACAGTTGGGTACAGAAATCTATTTTGCCCAATTAGGAAACTGTCAGAAAAGGAAAAGAGGGAACTGCAAGAGAGGGCAAGTAAAGGAAGAGATTAGTTAGAAATAAGACAAGTTCTCAGAGAAAGAGCAGGAAACAGGGAAGAAGAGTATAAGAGAATAGGTTTGGGGGGATGCACAATTAACCACCTTAACTATGAGCATAAATGATAGGAATTCACCTATCAAATGGAAAAGGGTAACAGATTGGATTAAAAAACAGAATCCAACAAT